AAAAACTCATCACTATCAGAACTACTACAATCTATTCCATAAAGATTCTGAAAACAATTATCAAATCTATGATGGTTAATTAATAAATTACAATCTACATAATAAGAACTAAACTTTTTAATACCTGCTGAATGATCTAAAATAAAATTTACTAATTTATTTTCTAAAATTTGTAAATTTAATTCTCTATTTTTTACCAGGTATTGAAAATCATGACAATTATAAAGTATAGTACAAAATCTGGCATAATTGTATAATGGTGGTTTCTCCAATAGTTTAAAAGTTAACCCAATGTAATTTCTAGTTAAGAAATCCTTATCTTCTTCTAACATACAATTAATTAATATTTTGATGCAGTCTCCACAATCAAATGGATTCTTCCATAAAGTTGGAATATTTATATTGTGCCATTGTTTGTTGACAAGAATACAAGAATATAATGCTTGGTAATCATTTTCAATATATTTGAATATTTCAGTCAAAAGTTCAGGTGGCAAACTCATATTAATATTAATATTAAGAATAATTTGTTTGTTGCACAATGTAAATGAAAAAATATTATTTCCAAAATTAATGTATTTTTCCGCAACATATTTTAAAAAATTTTATTGGCAGATGATTTTTGGGAAAAATATTAAATCAGATTAGCTAATAGTTTACATGCGAATGATTATGTGAATATTAAGTTGAGGATACATTTAAAACCAAGGGACTCCAGCTTTTTTTGTAAGAAAATATTAATTAGTAACCTCTTACCATTAATCATCACTAAAATCAAATTAATGTCAAACGTCAGCTAACTGTTCTTTACCCTCCAATTGATGTTTGTTGTCAATGGCAGTAATAGTCCACCAAATATCATTCATCATAATATTATGCAATATGATACAGCATGAAATAATAAATATATTATGTTATAATAATGACAAATACATAACAATAATAAATAACAATAAAATTATGTATGATTGAAATCTTTCAGATTATTCTCTCTACTGATAATATTTATTGATTATTAAAAACCCTAAATTTTGATAATTTCCTAATATTTTTCTTTCACTTTCTAGCAAAATTTCGTGCTCAGCATACTTAACAAATCCTATTACTAAAGGTTTGGGTCCTCTCCAATTCCTCATTAGAATATCCAAAGAATGGTTACTAATATTATAAGTCTGACAAGTAAAAGTTATTGACTTTAAATTTTTTGGTAATGTTTCATTTAATACTGTCAATATTTTATCAAAATCTATACCCCCAGGATATTTATTAAATCTAATACTTTTTAATTTAATACAATTGTTAAGTATTTTCATTAATTCCTGGTCTGATTCATCCTCATATATTATAGTTAAATCTTCTAAATTTATACAACATTGTGCAATTGATTGAAATAGCTTTCCAAAAAATCCATAATTATATAGTAAATCACCAACATCCAAATTTTTAAAATTTTTCCCATTTGTGTTAATAAAATCAGATATTTCTGATATAAATGGTTGATGAAAAATACAAAACTTCACAGATTCAATATTTGGCAGTGAAATATTTTTCCAACCTTTTGTACTATTATAAGTAGTTACTACTAATTCTAAAGTCTTTAAATTTTTAAAAGTTGGTAATAATAAATTATTAAAATTGTTTCCACTACCATGAAATCCATAAAAATTTATTGATTGTGAATGTGTTAATATTGCTTTTTTTAATTCATCATCATGTAAATTTTGTGTATTTGCTGACATAATATCTAAATATTTAATTTGCTTTTGTGCTTTAATTAGCTGTGCTAAATTATATATACTTTTGTCATTACTATCACAATATACTATGAATGTTTGAATATTTTTACAAATATTTGCTAATTTATCAAAAAATTCACCACTATCAAAACTACCACAATCTATTCCATAAAGATTCTGAAAACAATTATCAAATCTATGATGATTAATTAATAAATCGCAATCTATATAATCAGCAGTACTAAGCTCTTTAATCCCAGCTGAATGATCTAAAATAAAATTTACTAATTTATTTTCTAACATTTGTAAATTTAACTCTCTATTTTTTACCATGTATTGAAA